CCGAGCATTAGCATTTTTGGGTGGGGACACATAAGATGTCTCAATAAGCATAAATATCAAAATACACATAAGCTGTCTAAATGCCCTGGGGTGGGGAGGAAGAAAGAGGGCAAATGCCCCGCCCGGGGGATCGTCGCCTCCCAACACCTCTGCAGTTTTTTTAGCCGAGCTCCGGCGGCCTGAAATGCCGCCAAGCGGGGCCCCATACTCACACAGGAAAGAAAAGGAAACTTATGAGTTGATTTTCTCATGGTTATCATGGCTAACGGTATTGCTCATGGGCACGTTCGCACGATGGCGACGATGACGGAATCGCGCAAAATGGCGGCCATACTCCAAAACTAGGCTGACAGAGACATGCAGCCTTAGTTTACCGCGTACTTCTTTAATATTGGACATCCATGTTATGATCAATTGACACCTGTCAAAATGAGGTATCCACTGACCAGTATCACGTGACCATATCATGGGCTTAAGTTTACAGCTCAATGAGGTCACGTTATTTTTAAGTTGACTGCTGACCAAGTGCTGCTTTTCGATTGGATTGCGGGCTCACTTGTTGAAAACAGGGCAGGATTGTTCGGAAGTCGGTTAACGCTAGCCCAGGATTAGAAGTTAACCGAATAATAACTTTTTCTTTGATACAAATGCTTTTTACTGCTTTGTTTTGTGTATATGGTGGTTATTAAAACTCAAAACAGAAGGCCAAACAATATACAGAAAACCTCACCGCAAAGTTACAAAACTCAAATCAAAATTCTACCTTTTCCTGGGTTAGCTTAATCGGGCTCTGAACAACCCGGCCCAGGAGCTACGCTTTCAGGCTGACCTAAATCTATATAATTATTATTAATCAGTAAATAAAACATTCAACTGTTCAGTATTTTAATGCAACAGTAAGACTTCAAGGACAACAGTACGTGAATTTGTACTGCTCTAAAACCTATTTCAAAGCCTTTTAACGACGAAAAAGTCAGGAAGCTTTTGGAAAATTCATTATAATATTAATAAACAGCGCTGGGATTGTGGCCGACGTGCCCCCAGCCGCGAGCGATGATAGGTGCCTGTATTCACAGGCTACTTTTTCTATGAAGAATCAAGACATTTTAAATGATGATGTATTGCATTTTAAGCTCGCAAGATCTGTCTTGAAGATCTCATCATTTGAATTCGCAAACCTTAAGTATTTTAACTCCACTTTCATGAATTTAAAAAATGCTAGGCTAGTTTTGAATGCGAAATGCGAAATAGTCGTGTTCACATCAGTGATTGTTTTGTGATCAACAAAATATAGTTCACCTCGTCGCTTATATTTATATGCTTACAAGTAATGAAGAAATATCTAAAATTGA